GTGTGTGTGTGTGTGTGTGTGTGTGTGTGTGTGTGTGTGTGTGTGTGTGTGTGTGTGTGTGTGTGTGTGTGTGTGTGTGTGTGTGTGTGTGTGTGTGTGTGTGTGTGTGTGTGTGTCTCTGTGTGTGTGTGTGTGTGTGTGTGTGTGTGTGTGTGTGTGTGTGTGTGTGTGTGTGTGCGTCACAGCTGAATCCACGTCCAGCTGTGGCGTTAATTGCAAAATAAAAGCGCTTTTAAAAAATGCAGTCCTCCTACCTTTTATTATAAATAACTATGATGCCTACTCTAAATAAGTACGTATGCTTAGTCCTTGATAATTTAATAAATCCTCTAATTAATCTACACTTGGCACCCAATATGGTGCGATAAAATCTTACACGTACATGTGTCTTACATGTGAACACTAACACCTTAAAGCTACTCAAGTGTGATGTCACTGTGTCCTAATGCAGACATACACGTTGCACGATGCTGCATGCACGTGAACAACTGCATTTAAACGTGATCAACCCTCATTCCTAGCCAACGCTAGAGGAAAGGGTTTACTGGCCCATACCAACGACGTGCCGAGATCATCTCTGATTGAAGCGTCACCGGTGTGTTTAGGAGTTTTGTTTAAGAGAACTGACGCTTCCAGGTTCAACATCTGTACGGTATTTTGAAAAGCAAGTCGTGGTTTGGGATGAGTCTGATTGTTTCCAGCGTATCCCACGAAGACTTTAACTCCAGAGAGCGCAGACATCTGTAATAATAATACGTGCACTTGTTCTTAGTCGAACCACGATGTTTATTCCAAGCCTAAAGCTGGTCGTTTTGTTTTGTTTGTTTCTTGTTTCCATTTACAACTTTAAGCACGTGTTTAAAACTGATCATAAGATACGTAACGTTACCCTTCAACTGTGACTGGATGGGTTCAATGGGAACGTCCGTTTTAGTGTTGATTGATCAATAGCTTCAATCTTTTTCTCAACCTAGCCAGGGTTTCTTTGCTCCAATGATGAAGGTTCGTTGAATGGGAACGTAAGAGGAGTCATGACGTACGACTAATCTGGCTTTTTTAAAACATGTTTCAAACCACGATGTTTAGTTAAACCTAGCCAGCAGGATTTAAAAATCTGTTGATCTTTTCAATTTAAAACTTTAACCACGTTTTTAAAACTGCTGACGTTACCCTTTACAGTTATTGAGGACGCAGTTTGGTTCAAATGTATAATTCACTAGTTATTGTTCTGCTGTGACTCATGTCTGCCCTCTCACAGCACCATGGGGGGTATATGTTGTTTCTTCTCTCAACCAAGTAGTTCTGTTTCCATTTACAACCAAAACCACGTGTTCAAACTTCTACGGTTTCTGAGGGATAAGATACGTAACGTTGCCCTTCGACTGTGACTGGACGGACTTTAGTTCAATGGGAACGTCAGTTTTAGGGTACTTCAAAAGAGTACTTTTCTAAGGCCAAACCAAAATCTTTATCTAAACCTAGCCAGGGTTTCTTTGCTCCAACGATGCAGGTTCGTTGAATGGTAACGTCAGAGGAGTCATGAGGTACGACTAATCTGGCTCTTTTCAATGTACGTCCGTCACATATTGAACGTACCTCTTGGAAGGCGAACCACAAAGTTTAGCTGAACCTAGCCAGGAGGAATAAAAAAATCTGTTGATCTGTTTTCAATGTACAACTTTAATCAGAACTTCTACGGTTTCTGACGTTACCCGGGATAAGATACGTAACGTTACCCTTCAACTGTGACTGGATGCGTGAGTTTAGTTCACATGCACGCCATGTTTAGGGTTGATTGATCAATAGTTTCAACCACAATATTGAGCTAAACCTAGCCAGATCTTTTGTTTATCTGTTTTCAATTTACAACTTTAACAACGTGTTTAAAACTGCTGACAAAGGTATACTTCAGTTGTTCTTGTTCAGTGGTGCCTCTCACAGCACCATGGTGGGTATGTGGTGAACCAGAGAGGCTGGGTGAGGCATGCTCAGCTGGGGGGGGTGATTCTGAGGGGAGTGCACCATCATGTTCCCTCCCCCCGCGGCGGCGATAGCGATGGCGTTAGCCTTAGCATTAGCGTCTGCAGATGGTCGGTGCCGGGCGCTCTTCTGATGCGCACGCAGCCCGGCCAGCTGGGAGTAGGCGGACTGGCAGACGAGGCACTTGTACGGTCGCTCTCCGGTGTGCAGACGCACGTGATTCCTCAGAGTCGACGACTGGCTGAAGCGTCTGTTGCAGAAGCGGCAGACGAAGGGTTTGTCCAGCGTGTGAATCCTCATGTGAGAGCGGAGGTTGCTGCGGGAGTTGAACCCGCGATGACAGATTACACAACGCATGCGACCAACACTGATGGAGGATGAGGAAGAGGAGGAGGAAGAGCAGGAGGAGGAAGAGGAGGAGCCTTCACAGGTGTGGAACTCATCTGGAGGAGGAAGAGGAGGGATTATAGAGCGGTGCAGGGATGTGGCATTTCTGTAGTGGACCCTGAAGGCAGCATCTCCCTGGTCCAATGGGATTTCTCCATCTGATTTTGGATTATGTAGAAAATAATCTCCGTGTTAAACAAACGTTGAATGCTAAGCTAAAGGAGGCTAATGTTGGGCTATAAATGAGCTACAGCACGGTCACATGAGTTCAAGTCACCACCGCTAAGCTAAAGGTGGCTAATGTTGGGCTATAAAGGAACTACAGCACGGTCACATGACTTCACGTCACCACCGCTAAGCTAAAGGAGGCTAATGTTGGGCTATAAAGGAACTACAGCACGGTCACATGACTTCACGTCGCCACCGCTAAGCTAAAGGTGGCTAATGTTGGGCTATAAAGGAACTACAGCACGTCACATGACTTCACGTCACCACCGCTAAGCTAAAGGTGGCTAATGTTGGGCTATAAAGGAACTACAGCACGGTCACATGACTTCACGTCACCACCGCTAAGCTAAAAGCGGCTAATGTTGGGCTATAAAGGAACTACAGCACGGTCACATGACTTCACGTCACCACCGCTAAGCTAAAGGAGGCTAATGTTGGGCTATAAAGGAACTACAGCACGGTCACATGACTTCACGTCACCACCGCTAAGCTAAAGGAGGCTAATGTTGGGCTATAAAGGAACTACAGCACGGTCACATGACTTCACGTCACCACCGCTAAGCTAAAGGGCTAATTTGGGCTATAAAGGAACTACAGCACGGTCACATGACTTCACGTCACCACCGCTAAGCTAAAGGAGGCTAATGTTGGGCATGATGACGTTTAGTCGTCTCATTTAGACACTTGTTAGCAACCGCCGTTTGGAAATTCACCAGTTGGGTATTAACTGACACATTTTATATCGTAGAACAAAACGCTAAAATCTCTTCAGCTTGGGTTAACCACAGATCTTATTTTAGGAATCTAACCGTAAACATTTCAACTTCCAGGCAAGGGAACAGGAAGTGCTAAATGCTGACTTATTTTCCTGGGCTTTAGTACTTAGTCCTGTACCACTATGACATTTTGATTAATTGTGCAGCAGCGCTTTCCTTTACAGCCCTTATAGTAGCCACCTCCTAATTGGGAGGTAGTGTCTCATATTGTTCCATGGAGGTCAGTGATTTACACACACACACACACACACACACACACACACACACACACACACACACACACACACACACACACACACACATCCTGGCCTTTGTGGGCAATGTTGCAAATCAATGAGCAGGGCTGATGATTGCGATTTGATTTTTTAAGATGATGAGTGCATCAATGTGAAGAAACTAGTAGGGCTGCAATAAAAGGCTTTTTTTTAATGATGATTTATCTGACTATCCTTTTCTCAAATTCATCTTTAGGTCTATAGAATATCTGAACACAGCATAGTGTGTTTAAATGTCTTGTTTTGTCAGTATAAAACCCAAATATATTCACTTGAATATGAGATCAAAACATATTGAGGAGGTTGTCATCCTCGAGTCATCCCTTAGCTGTTTAATTCATCTACCAGACAATGAATGCATTTAAGAAACTGATATTTAAATGTTAAATTACATATACAGTATTATCTGTATTACTCACCCCTAATTAGGTCAATTCATGAGCTCACTGCCAATTTCCAAAAGGTGGCTCTTGGATTATATTGACTGTCACAAATGGATAGAATAGCAGAGAATGGGATGTGTTCATTGAGCACTGACAGAAAATAGATGCGGTTGTGTATTGTTCGTATCAGATATTCAATATGTAAGAATAATCAGCTTTATCAGCAAAATACTTGCAATCTGTTGAAATTGCAAAAAATAATGAGATACATGGAGAGAAAGATACAGCTCTCTGGTTGAAACTGGGACTTTATTGGTTATTATAGAGCATTTTTATGTAAAATATATGTATTTTATGAGCAATGGAAGGCCAATATCCGTCATTATGTTATAATAGAGCTATAATTTTACATTTTTTGCACAGTAAACTGGATTTATGCCAATGAATGCTCAGCAATAAGTAGAGCTTGAAGAATACTAATCGATTAGTTGATGGATAGAAGAATAATTGCCAGCTTTTTGGATAATCAACTAATCATTACACTATTTTCTTTCTGTAAGGATGGCAGAAAATGCTGTTGTTAGCCTCTTGGTATGGACATGTTCAGCTTTACTCTATTCTATGTTATATTATAGTGAATATGTTGAGGTTTTGGAATGACAGAACTAGACATCCATTGGACTTTGAGAAGCTGGGATGGCTATATTCCAAAATTGCTGACACTGTAACAACCGAATTGATCTTTGATAATGATTTGAGTGTTATAATCTGCAGATTCACCAATAAGTTAGATAATCATTAGTTGCAACCCTTCCAAAGATATTTCACCAATTCAGACTTATTTGTTTCACCTGTTGAGCTCAAATGTTTGCCCAACCACGAGTAAAGATAAGGGTGTACTGTTTACTGTCCAACATGCACACTTTATCTTAGGCATACAACTGCATTTCATATTTGTTAGCATGTGTTGTTCCAACTCCCACCTGCACTCCATGTTGTCCCTTCTGCAGGCTCTAATTAGAGGGATGAGCCACCAAAGCCATTAATTAAAGGGTGTCAGTAGATGAACCTTGGGGATCTGTGTGTGTGTGTGTGTGTGTGTGTGTGTGTGTGTGTGTGTGTGTGTGTGCGCGCGTGCGTGTGTGTGTGTCACTCACCTGAAACAGACTTTCTGTCAGTCCCCGCCTGACCTGCGTCCACAAAAAGGCGCAAAAGAAGAACAGGGCGATTTCGGTAAAGGTAATGTAAGCGTTATCCAGGAGAGTCCGTTTGGAGAGCTCCAGCCCGCAGGAGCTACAGTCTCTCCAGGCGCCAAACATCACGGTGGAGGCCCGGTTGATGAGGTACAAGTATCCCGGCATGGGCTCCACTTCCACCGGCCCGGAGTCCCCGGTGTCACCGCTCATGGTGGGGCGGTGCGGAGAAAGAACAAAAAACGTGGAGGGGAAATACTCCAAATGAGGAGGCCAGAAAGGAGCAGTTAGAGTCCAGACTGTGTGGCTATAAGCACCTTAAAAACGGTAAAATAAGCTTATCTACCCAGATTACCCTCCCTCCTCCTCCTCCTCTTCTTCTTCAGCAGCCTAATTCTTTGTTTTCCAAATTAAGACACGGGCCCATTCTGCGCGTGCAGGACAGTTTTGTGACAGGGCCCGGTAGCTTCACACACACAAACAAACACACACTAGGAGGCTGTGTTTTATATCACACAACCTTGTTATTAAAGGTGGTTTTGACGGGTATAATGAGCCATTAACGCCTGAATGTCTGCTGGAGGTGGAGGTTTCTTCTGCGCATCATCCCGTAACGCTCACGCGGCTCATCAAGCGGCAGGGCAGCGGCGTGACCGTTAGCCTCCTAGTTCAGTGAAATCACACAATAGTGAGGGGTACAGCATCGGATGAAGCTCCACAAGCTACTGGAATAAATTACCCTCTTTTTAAAATTAAAAAACCGTGATGGCGCTAACACACATGGAGGTGTTCCGCCTGTGAGAGTCGGCCTGACAGCACATGCGCGTTTTAGTGCCGCTATCCGGGTCTCATCTCTGTCCGTTATTCACCTTATGTAACGACTCTGTACCGATAAAACCCGACAGATTCAAACGAGAAACCAAGTAAGTCCAGCAAAGAGGAAATAAAAAGGATAAATAGGGAGAGTATTATCCGGTCGTCTCCTCTTCTTGTACCCGCCGCTGCTGCTTCTGCCGCTCTGGGCTGGCCGACGTGACGACGCGACGCGCTTCGCTTTCAATACAAAATGAACTGGTACGTTGAAAAGAGGACAGCGACAGAGTACGTTTTTAATGCAGAAGAAGAAAAAACGTAAAGGGGGCGTGGCATAATTAGAGGGGGACGCTATCTTCTTCGTCTTCTTGAACCGTCTTCTGGTGGATTAAAAAAGGATAATTTAAAGAGACAGTGCACAGTAATGCTTCAAGAGCTACCTCACTGCAATTATATATTACATACATAAATAAAAACTTCACTTTGTACATGTATAATGTATATATTTGAGTTTGCTCACCTTACTCAAATAATAATAATAGATTACATCTGTATAGCGCCTTTCAAGGGACCCAAGGCCGCTTTACATGGTGAACAAACAAAGGGGCAAATAATAAAGTAAAAAAAACGACTTCTACTTCTTTGATGGCTCCCGCAGGATTGTTGACATCCACCTTCTTGTTTATAGTCACATGCATTTTGAACTATCTATGTTGTAAAGGTTTTATTTTATTTTTAATTTACACACGACATCTATTGCACGTCTGTCCGCCCTGGGAGAGGGACCCCTCCTCTGTTGCTCTTCCCAAGTTTTCTTACATTTTCCGCCCATTAACTTGGGTGTTTCTTTGGATGTGAGGGTCCAAGGACAGAGGATGTCGTATTTGTATTCTGTACAAACTGTTAAGTGAGACACATGTACCTTTTGTGATAATGGCCTATATAAATATAGTACTTTGAGTATCCAGGTGTATTCTTCTTTAATTCTGTATATGTTTTTCTCTATAGACTTTTCTCATTGATATATAGGTCCCATTGTATAAGGTTTATGTATACATGTACTCCTGTGCAATGCCTGATAAGCTGCTGCTGCAACACAAACAATTCCCAATTCTGAATCAATAAAGTACCTGGTGTAACCTCTACTCTATATTTTTGAAAGCAAAACATCAGGTACAATTTTGTAGGTTGTTTTTGGAGCAAAGAAGGACCGATTAAAAGTAATCACAGAGCTTCAGTCGGCAGACTACAACACAACTAATAGAGCCAGAAATCTAGGTGTAGTGATGGACTCAGACCTGAAATTACAACAGTTATTAAATCTGCATACTATCACCTGAAGAACATATCTAGGATTAAAAAACTAATGTCACAACAGGACTTAGAAAAGCTTGTCCATGCTTTCATCTTCAGCAGACTCGACTACTGTAATGGTGTCTTCAAAGGGCTGACAAAAACATCCATCGCCGCTGCTCGAGTCCTCACTAACATTAAAAGAGTGGATCACATCAGTTCGGTTCTGAAGTCTTTACACTGGCTTCCAGTCGGCCAAAGAATTGATTTTAAAGTTCTATTGCTAGTTTTTAAATCACTAAATGGTTTAGGACCAAAGTATATCAACGATCTCCTGCATAATTATGAACCATCAAGGTGTCTCAGGTCTTCTGGGACGGGTCTGCTCTCGGTTCCGAGAGTAAGAACAAAACATGGAGAAGCGGCGTTTAGCTATTATGCCCCGACAATCTGGAACAAACTGCCCGAATCATGCACGTCCGCTGAAACACTGACTATTTTCAAATCGAGACTGAAAACATATCTTTTTGCCGCTGCTTTTAATTGATCAGTTCATATTTGTACTGCAGTATGCATTTTATTCATGTATTGTATAACTGTTGTGTTTAATTTATTATCTTTGCTTCTTAAATGCCTGTTGTAAAATGCCATTATATAATGTGTTTCTGCTGTATTTATTCTTAAATGTCTTTGTAAAGCACTTTGAATTGTTGCGTGCTGAAAGGTGCTATATAAATAAACTCCTTGCCTTGCCTTACATTGCAAGCACAAATCTAGATTTCATAATTAATATCTCAATCAACACTTAAACACACACCCATTGCTCAGACCACGCCCATCTATGAACTCAGCCCTCACAGAGTGGAGCATGAGTCCTTAGCCTTGAAATGAGTTAGCATTTTATCACATCTTGACTCTGCCTCAAGTTTTTGGTTAAACATGTTCACAGTTGCAGCACTCTATGTTGCAACTAATTGACATAATCTTGCAATGTTGCATTGCTATCATGGTCACAAAATCTGTCCAGACAAAACAAAAGGAAATATCACGAGCATTCATCCTGCAGGTGTTTAAGATGCTAAAACCCCACAACATGTTAAATATGTGTTGTTGTTTTTTTTTAAATCTAAGTTCTTACCATCAGATAGATATGTAGGCTCCAGAGGAACAACAGTATGGGCCTGGAGAGAGACACACAGAGGCATATGAAAAAAATAATCAATATTGCTATACATGGCTATAACAACTCTGTTTCTGCTTTAGACAGGTCAATAAAGTATTCAACGCTGGGGAAACGGTGAATGTCGACACACACACACACACACACACACACACACACACACACACACACACACACACACACACACACACACACACAGGCAAACCTTATCAATCAATGCCATTGACCAAACTCTCACAGAGCAAATATTGTTTAACTGAACAACTGGGTAATTGCTCACATAAGAAAACACAAATGGATGAAAAAATGTGTGATGATTTATACATGTGTCATTTATAAGATCTTTGTGGACACTCGGTCACTGCTTTGATAGCATATTCTTTATTCAGATTTTTAAATAATTTTGATGAAATTCGATTTATTCAATTTTTTGAATCACTGTGTTTATGTTAGTTTGGTATCTAACATCATCCCATTCATTTTTTATAGATTTAATGTTTTTCGAGAGGACACAGATGGAGGCCTGTTGGGCTAAGTTAGGTATTAGTAATCATAGCAAAATCACTGCCATTAATGACTCCCTATCCGCTGCATCTGACACACAAACATCTCCCCCAACATCCACCGCCACAATTCCTCCCTCCATCTCCCTTGACCTCCCGAGCCCTCCTCCCCACGGCATTCTCTCCCAGTTCACTCTGGTTACCCCCCCTGAAATACTCCAACTGATCAGCTCCTCCAAACCCACAACCTGCTCGCTTGACCCTCTACCCACCCCTCTTCTGAAGTCCTGCCTCCCCGTCCTTTGCCCCTACATTGTCAACCTTTTCAACTCCTCCCTGTCCCAAGGAACCGTTCCCTCTGCCTTCAAAACTGCTGCTGTCACTCCCATCCTCAAGAAACCCGGTCTGGATCCCTCCTCCCTCAGTAATTACCGCCCCATCTCCAACCTCCCCTTTCTCTCTAAAACAACAGAACGCATCATCTCCAAACAACTCCACCGCCATCTCCAAAAAAATGACCTTTTTGAACCCCTTCAGTCTGGTTTTCGTCCTCACCACAGCACAGAAACGGCACTCATCAAAGTCCTCAATTCCCTCCTCACCTCTGCTGACACCGGTTCCCTCAACATATGTTGGGCTATAAAGAA